TCAGTTTTTTTCTTGCTTTCTCGCAAGTTTTTTTTAGTATCTGGGTCTAAGTTGTTGAAATAGTTGATTTGTTTTTTGTTTTTTTGCTGAGTGCTTTCGTGTATCGTCCACCATCATCATGGCGTATGTTTTGGATTAAAAATATCATAGCGAAAGGCTCCTCCAAACAATTAACATGAAAGTATTTATAGAGAAGACAGAGAGACAACCTTACCACGGTAGGAAAGTTATTGAATCCGAAGCCCCAGATTAGTACTGATAATATTGCTGATTCTTCCTGGGAATTCACATTTTTATAGCAAAATGATAATGCAACTCTAAAATTATATAACAATACATTTTTATAGTCAAATTACCATTGCTATTTACATTAATGGGACACATGTCACAGTGGATAACGTCGTTACTTAGATCCAGTGACAGGACACAGAGTGTGAGTCCAATAACTGGTTAAGGCAGTGGAGAACTTGGAGAGGGGAATTAAGAGATAACTGATAACTGACATTCATTAAACATGGTACGTGGAACTAGAACAGTCTACCCCAGTGAGCAAAATAAAGGGTTCAGAGTCTGTCTATATTTCTGAGATGAGGTATTATGTACATTATTTACATTATTCGGACTATTGTAATTTAGGACAATACTCCGATTAATGTAAATAATGTACCTAATACCTCATCTCAGAAATATAGACAGACTCTGAAGGATCGGTACGGACCCGATATACCAAAAATATGGAAGGACAATAGACCGAATAATGTAAATAATGTATATAAAGGGTTCAGTTCGACATACAAACTACCTGAAGAAGGCCGAAGCGTACAACGCCGAAACGTTGCAATAAATATGGCGACAAAGATGAGTATGAATAGTCCGAATAATGTAAATAGTGCCATCTGGTTGTTTATTTAATACTTAAGTTTAAACATATTTTTTTTCTTAACGGCTTCTTTTTTGGGGGGTGGGGGGATATGGTGAGCAGACTGATGAAACTAAGCTGGTAAACTTTGTGAAACATAAAGGCAACGTGGAGGTATTTATTTCCTATCGATATACGCTTTATAGGATGTTGGGTATGGCTGCATGATCAAGGTGAGGAAATAGGTGCTTTATATGTTTTAAAATTAGAGCGAGCCTCTCTGTGGAGGTGTCTTGAATTCGCACAGTATGGCGGAGACCAAGAACATGGTTTGTAATATCATCTATAAATATAGCTACGATGTCCTGGAGTTAATGGTAATGATGTTTATGCCCCGAAACGAAGTCTGACTCTGAGGGCCATTACTTAATGAACAGTCGCAGCAGTAAGTAGTTTTTTTTTTTCTACTGAAATATTGTATCTCTCTTACATCCCGTGCAAAAATTGTGGCGTCGTTTCCCGTTGCCTTCTCGACGGGTTTGATTTCAAAGCAATCGTTCTCATTTCTATAGACGATCATGGCTCTCCACCGTTTCCTTTTCTTTTTTTATCTGTGAATTACCGCTTCTTGGTAAATATAATGGAGTGGTTTCCCATAACATCTCCACGCTTTTGAATTAAGAGCAATCTCTCTCCTTTCTCGACGTAGACGATCATGGCTCGCCACCGTTTCCTTTTCTTTTTTTATCTGTGAATTGCCGCTTCTTGGTAAATATAGTGGAGTGGTTTCCCATAACATCTCCACGCTTTTGAATTAAGAGCAATCTCTCTCCTTTCTCGACGTAGACGATCATGGCTCTCCACTGTTTCCTTTTCTTTTTTATCTGTGAATTGTCATAAATTCTGGGGAAAGATAGTCCAGTATTTCCTCCTCCACCGTTTTGAATTCAGATTAATCTTTTTCTGTTCCGGACGTAGACGAGCATGGCTCTCCACAGATTCCTTTTGTTTATTATATGTGAATTTTCATGACTTCTTGGGAAAAGTAGTCGAGTGATTTCCCGTTTTCTTTCTCCGCAGTTTTGAATTCAGAGACATATTCTTTTATCCTGTACATATGCGATCATGGCTCTCCACAGATTCCTTTTCTTTATTATCTGTTTATTTGTCATTACCTCTTGACTGCTATATTTCATATGTATTTGCCTTGTGGCGCGTGTATCCGTGTATATGTGTGTGTGTGCACGCAAGTTAGTTATTCTAGTGGGCATTCTTGTTTGTCTATTAGTGTACGTGTGTTTAATTCCCGGGGATGGAAGTGCCACGAAAATGTAAAATGTGTATCTTACAGGATTTGATAGTGCCGGTATCTGCTGTTTCGATGTAGGTTATTAATGTTGGGGCAAATTCTATGGTTGAGAAAAAAATGGGTCTCTCGTGAAATTTGAAAGTCTATCGTTCGGTGTGTTTTGGCTTAATTCTATTATTATTATCCTGTTTGTTAGCACCTTGCCAGAAAGTAATATTAGATACGTAATTACTAAGTCCCCGTCGGGGTCTATGATTAAAAATGTCACTACAGAAGAGTTATCGATGCACATTTGGGGAGTTTCGTTTAGATGAAGAGGGCTTTGAGGATGATATGCGCAGTTTCGCACAAAGTAAACTTTTTTTTTTTTGCTATGAGATGCTGAGGTGTTCTGGGATTTTACTCGCATGATTTGTGGTAGCCATCTTTATTATACCCAATGTCACTCGCACAATAGGGATAATCGTATTTTTAAGTTTCCACATTTTTGTTAAATCTATTGGCAGCTGCTTATAATTTGGGAGTTTCCGAAATTCTTTTTCAGAAATATTGGAATTCTGTGGGCAGGTCATATCAATGAGTTGTCAAGTTCTTTTTTAAAAAATTTTCTGACTTTTTTTGCATTAACTTTCATGTCTGTTACGATTAGGAAATCCCGCAGTATAGTCCTCCAGCCCCATCGGTGATAGAATTCGGGTTATGTTTGTACTATATAATTATTACTATAATTTTTTACGATATCCTGACGCGTGTTGAAATTCTCACAGTATTTAGTATTATCTGTCTATATCTCTGAGATGAGGTATTATGATTATTTACATTATTCGGACTGTTATCTTCATCTTCATTGCCATATTCACAACGTTTAGGCCATTGTACGCTCCGGCCTTCTTCAGGTGATTGGATATCTGAGATGAGGTATTATGATTATTTATATTATTTACATTATTCGGACTATTATCCCCATCTTCATTGCCATATTCACAACGTTTCGGCTATTGCACGCTCTGGCCTTCTTCAGGTGATTGGATTTCTGAGATGAGGTATTATGATTATTTATATTATTTACATTATTCGGACTATTATCCCCCCTATTCATTGCCATATTTACAACGTTTGGGCCATTGTACGCTCCGGCCTTCTTCAGGTGATTGGATCTTTGAGATGAGGTGTTATGATTATTTATATTTTTTACATTATTCGGACTATTATCCCCATCTTCATTGCCATATTCACAACGTTTCGGCTATTGTACGCTCTGGCCTTCTTCAGGTGATTGGATCTCTGAGATGAGGTATTATGATTATTTATATTATTTACATTATTCGGACTATTATCCCCCCTTTTCATTGCCATATTCACAACGTTTCGACTATTGTGCGCTCTGGCCTTCTTCAGGTGATTGGATCTTTGTGATGAGGTATTATGATTATTTATATTATTTGCATTATTCGGACTATTATCCCCATTTTCATTGCCATATTCACAACGTTTCGGCCATTGTGCGCTCAGGCATTCTTCAGGTGATTGGAATTTCGAACCTAACCCTTTATTTCGTCCATCGGGGTGGATTTTTCTAGTTATGCATGCCATCCTTCTTCCGAATGTCCCAGTGATTTTCATTTAACTCGACGTAAGAGACATGGCACGTGGAACTAGAGCAACCTACGCCGGTGGACGAAATAAAGAGTTTGGTTTTAAACTCCAGTCACCTCACGATGGCTGGAGCGTACATAGACCGAAAATTTGTGAATATAGCAATGAGGATTAGGATAACAGTCCGAATAATGTAAAAAATGTAAATTTTTAGTATTGTTGAAATTATCGATAGCATTTTGTCGAAATTTACAAACTCTAGATTTCGTACAATTTCGCAAACCAAGTCAATGAAATTTGAATAAGCTCCTTTGTTTAGGAAAATACTTTGAAAAAACCCTGCTTCGGGTTTTAAAAAATTTTTTTTAACTTAATCTAATTTTATAGGATACATGGAAAACAATATTTTTTAAAGAAATATCTTTATTTTTTCCAAAGAAAAATTCTTACATTTTCTTACTCTTGAGCATGCAACATACAACTGGCCATATGTAAATATTTCCTTCTGGAGCCAAATTCCAACATTTTAAGCGTTTAGCCGTGTGATTTATTTGCTGTACTTGCATACTCAGGGCGAACTGGAAACTGGATTCTTGTATATAAAAACAATATTGCATTTTTATTAGACAAGTATTTGTTATTTTAATCATTAAATTGATTTTAAAAAAGAGGGAGTACTTTGTATGTTAAATAATAAAACTTTAAACTTTTTTGAAAAAGAAATAATGAAAATTTATTGTACTAAGCTACTCACCCGAGTAAAACCAAATGTACCATTGTACCCCCTTTGCTTGCACTTCTCCCCAAATTTGGTTTCGATCAGTCAAGGTATGGCTATTTTAGAGGACGCGACGGACAGACTAAGGGAAGTGACAGAATTTTATATATAGATTATTGTCATTATGACTATATAAACTTTGGTGAGGAAAGATTGTATGTCGGTAAATTTTGGGTATGTACGTGTCCGTTGATTTAATTCTAATACGGATATTGTTAATTTCATTATAAAAAAAAAAAAAAACTTTTGCATCTATTGGGAGCGATTTGATTTCTTGCATTCTTTAACTATGGATTTCTTGAATGTTGATAATATGAAAAAGTTTGGCTAGTGTGTGTTTATCGACGGAAAGTTATTAATTAATATTCCCTCTAGATATTTTCTTCGTAATCAGATACGTTCTTGTTTTTATTACGGTGATATTTTTAAATCAAAATTATGACCTATTTCATGCCCGGATGTTTCGAGAATATTTAGTGGGCTATCTATCTATCTATCTATCTATCTATCTATCTATCTATCTATTTCAGTATGTTCATCTATTTCAGTCTATTCACATCTATCTATCTATCTATCTATCTATCTATCTATCTATCTATCTATTTCAGTATGTTCATCTATTTCAGTTTATTCACATCTATTATCTATCTATCTATCTATCTATCTATCTATCTATCTATCTATCTATTTCAGTATGTTCATCTATTTCAGTCTATTCACATCTATCTATCTATCTATCTATCTATCTATCTATTTCAGTATGTTCATATATTTCAGTTTATTCACATCTATCTATCTATCTATCTATCTATCTATCTATCTATCTATCTATCTATCTATGTAATCTGTTCCTCTCCATATCTATCTATCTATCTATCTATCTATCTATCTATCTATCTATCTTTTTATTCTGTTCCTCTCTATATCTATATCAGTCTGTTCCTATCTACCAATCATTTTTAGTATGTTCATCTGTCTATTTCAGTCTGTTCACATCTATCTATCCTGCCCATATATCTGTCTAATTGCGTTCATATCTATCTATCTATCTATCTATCTATCTATCTATCTATCTATCTATCTATCTATCTATCTATCTATCTTTTTAATCTTTTTCTCTGTATATCTATTTCATTTTGTTCACGTCTATCTATCAATCTCTGTCTGGTTGACCCCACTGCATTCACACACACACACACACACACACACACACACACACACACACACACACACACACACATATATATATATATATATATATATACGCAAATGGTTTCTCTCTCTCACATACACATATACAGATACAGAGAGGGAGGGGGAGGAAGACTAGCAGACGGAATAAGACTAGCATTGAATTTAACATTAGATTTTTGAATTAACAGTTTCCCTTCTTTTAAATGTAACGCACCTGCACCTGTCATTAAGTTACAATAATGCGAATAATCATCTTCCCCTCCGTTTATTTCATGACTTTAATGTACTCTATCAACAGAAGACAAAAAAAAAAAAAAAAGGTTTAAAAAAAAAAAGAAAATTTTAAGAAAAAAAAATGTTGTAAATTATTTTTGTGAACAACAGTGTAGACATTTATGAGCGGTTGTTGTTGCTTGCTTTTAAGAAAGAAATGACCTTTCGTCGAAGATTCTTTTCCTTACGTTGGTACCATTGAGGTTTCTTAGATGTGCGTGTGGTCTTCAGATCCAGCTCCATTTCGCTTTGTCTGTAAGCCAAATTACGATTCCAATTTAAAGTGCCAGAAACGATTCTTGTACATGTGGAAGTGAAATTGAAAAGAATCACACAAAAGAATGCTGTGTCCTTCGTCTTCTTCAGGCTAAATATTGATGGAATCATATATGAGGACTGATCAAAAATTATCGGGACTGGTTACTCTAAACAAGCAGAAAGGTAGTTAGCATAAAAAAAAAAAAAAAAAAAGAAAGAAAAGAAAAAGAAAGCAAGAGAAAATTAAGCTAGCAGTTTCAGTTCAATCCAGCAGTGCGTACCAGAAACATCTAATAGATTCTGGATTTTATAGATTGCTAGAAGCATGGCCCGGCGTTGCCCGTGCTTGATTCAAAAATCGTACGACTCATACAGCACTGCACGCACTAACCTGTTTCTTCCCGCGCATAGCGTGACCTTAAATTAATCTGCATTTAGGAAATACCCAACCGGAAAAAAACATTTTTAAGGGTTGACCGATTGTTCATTTGCACTCTGTTTTGGGGGCCTTCAGAGTTGAAACTTCACATGGTGACTCCCAATGGCCTCCTCATAAATCCGATCGGTTTTCGCTAAAAACCGACATGCGGTTCAGGTGCAATCTGGGCGTATCGGCTTTTGGGTTTTTATCGATTTCCGCGCTTTTTAGGGGTCCGTGGTCATGAAACTTCTGGACAACATTTCTAATGGTAGACTCTAAGAGGGTGTCAAATTTGGTTGAAATGCAATAATTCCTTCTGTAAGCAGATTTTTTCGATTATCGATTTTTTCGGAACCTGAGACCGAACTGAAAAATCGGGCTCCGTCATGTCCTTAAGGCAGCCATTTGCAAACTTGTGGTGAAAACCGCATCGAAATCGGGTGAGAAATGCAGCCTGAGCGAGGTAACAACGCCCACGACAGACACACAGACAGACAACATGAGAAATATAGATAGTAGATAGATATTTTTTATTTGGAACGCATAGCTATGTTCCGAAAATCAAACACTGGTGGAAAAATATTTGTGGACAAAGGAAATTATAGTCCCGGAAAGGGATATATTTGAACGAAGTAGCTCAGTGGTTTTGGCTACTGTAACCAAATAGAATACAGTAGCAGTAATCGACTGGTACGCGTCGTAGTCGCAGGTAAGAAGTGTAGATCAATGGCGTAGTCCAATGGACCTCGTTATAGACTAAGCTCTGACTTAGCCTTTGACTCTGTCGTACCTACACGTCCGTCGGTATTTATAACGTACACCAGCCAATCATATTCCAGTGAGGGGGAACACAGGTGTACGCATTTTCCATTATATCACCTTCTTAAAAATATTATGATTACTACCTATGACTTTTCTTTAAAAAAATATGGTAATTGACTTTAAAAGCTTCAAATAATTATCAGAGGTACGCAATTATCCAGGGACGCAAATGTAGAATACGAAACTGTCCTAGAACACTGTTCTCCTGTATGGCAGTAAGTTCTGGACAATCTCCTCAATGATGAAGAAACAAGACACATAGAAGATTGATTATCGTGAAAAGTTTCATGTCGTTAATCCATTCTCTTTGTGCTGGGATGGAAATCTTTCAGTAACACATCGAAAATACATTTAAATCTACCGACTTTTGTTAAGTGTGTTCCATTTTGAGGATTACAAGTGGCAACACAAGTAGCCTTGAATTGTTTACGACATTCTAAGGTGTCATCTCCACAGCTTTATTCAACATCTACAACGAGGCTATCGTAAGGTAACTGGAGACCATACCAAAATTTATTATCGGTGTGTTTAGTCTTAACGCAGACGACACGTTAGAAACAAAGACAAGAATAGTGAACTAAAACGTGATACCTGTCCTCCTGTATGGCAGTGAAAGCTGGACAATCTCCTTTAAGATGAAGAAGATTGGTTTGGGTTTATTTTGTTTTACGGCATATCAACTGCAATGGGCTATTTAATGCCGTCAACATTTTTAGGCGAGATTCATATGAACAGAATATGTATTCTTTGGTTTAGATTGGTTTGGTTTATTTTGTTTAACGGCATATCAACCTCAATGGGTTATTTAATGTCGAGAACATTTTTAGGATAGATTCGTATGAATAGAATATGTATTCTTTGGTTTAGATTGGTTTGGTTTATTTTGTTTTACGGAATATCAACCACAATGGGTTATTTAATGCCGACAACATTTTTTATTTGCGGTAATATTTTGTTTTGTCAAAAATCTGTTTCTAGTAATATTTTTCCTTCAAAATTGTATTGCTGGTAATAATTTTTTTCAAAAAAGTATTGCTGGTAATAGTTAACTATTTGCCATAGTTGGGACCCTAACAGGTGCTACCACCCCGGGTCAAGGTGGACCTGGGAGCATCAGCAATTAAGAGGTGGTTCCACGCTCCTACAAACCTCCTGACCAGAGGCCTTGCTGCAGGATGTACTTTATCGTTTTACCCAGGACATAAGATGAAGAAGAGACTTGAAGCAACAGCAATGATGGACAGATACTCATGATACCGATATGCAAGTTACAAATTAGAAATAACAAAATTAAGCAAGTACAACAATTTAAATATCTGGGAAGTGGTTTAACGGGAAGTGTAACACTGAAATCTGAACGCGCATTGGGCTAGTGAACGATGCCTTCCAGAAGCTAAGCAGAGTATTATGAAACATATAAATTTTGTTAGAAATAAAGAAAAGTGTACGAAATTGTTACGTTATATCAGTCCTCTTATATGGGAGTGAATATTGGAAACTTTCGTCACAGATGGAATGGAGACTTGTGGCAACAGAAATGTATTCCAAAATCTAAGTAGAGTATTAAGAAACAAAATTTATAGTAATTGCCTTTAAATGACTTTAAAAGCTTCAAATAATTATCAGAGGTACGCAATTATCCAAGGAAAACATTTGTCTGGTACACAATTGTCCGGGGCGCAAATGTCGAATACAAAACTGTCCTAGAACCCTGTCCTCATGTATGGTAATAAGTGCTAGACAATCTTCTCAATCATGAAGAAACAAGGCACACAGAAGAAGATTATCTTGATTAGTTTCTTGTCGTTAATCCATTCTCTTTGTGCGGGGAGGGAAAGCTTTCAACTGCACATCGAAAATACATTTAGATCTACAGAATTTTGTTAAGTATTTTTCATATTGAGGATCACAAGTCATAAAAAAAGTAGTCTTAAATTATTTACGACATTCTAAGGTGTCTTCTCAACAGATTTATTCAACATCTACAACGAGGCTATCCTAAGGTAACTGGAGACCCTACCAGAATTTATTATCAGGGAGCTTAATCTTAACGATATAAGATACGCAGACGACACGTTAGAAACAAAAAAAATACAAGAGTATTGAACTCTTGTGTGATATCTGTCTTCCGATATGGCAGTGAAAGCTGGACAATCTCTATCTATAAAATGCAGGATGTGTGTGTGTGTGTGTGTAACGAATGCACGGCCGCAATTTTCGACGGATTTGCACCAAAATTTACATGCACATGCTCCAAGTTAGCGGGAAGGCCAAGACCGACATTGCATTTCCAAACTCCCATCGATAGAGGAAATAATCTATATTTTTTATGCTTCTACGCCAGTTTTCATGTAGTTAGCGGCCACTTTCTACTGGCCAGAGTGAGAGCCAATAGCAGGCTTCCACGAATAGGCAGGAAGATTCTATTGGCCAGCCTGAGAGCCAACAGCTGACTGACACGAATGTTATCTAGCATGCTAGCATGCAAAAAAATCGATAGCTGCATTCGTCACAAGTGGGAAAAATTTAAATCTGCATGGCACTTTACTCCATTTGGCTCATTCGCTTGCTTAAACTCAACGTTGTTTCTGATTCCGAAGAACTAAAAATTTGTGTAAAAAGTGTTTGTTGTTAACATTCTTTTTTCATTCGGTTTTTCCAGTTACGAGTCCTTTTTTTTAAAGCTGATCGTTTTGTGTTCATTTTGTTTAGTTCTTTTTTAGTAACATATTTAATGTTTAGCATAGAGCTTAGAAAACAATCGCAGAGTGAGATAGGCAAGACGTAAGGCATGTAGCAACATCAGCACGGCAAAAAAGCACTCCTTTAAAGGCAAGGAAGGGCGAAAATATTTTAAGTCAAGTGATAGCGATTGCTGTATGAGTCGTACGATTTTTGAATCAAGCACGGGCAACGCCGGGCCATGCTGCTAGTCTCATCTAAGATGAAGAAGAGACTTGAAGCAACAGAAATGTGGTTGTAGAGAAGGATATTGAAGATACCATGGAGCGATCAAAGAGAAAATTTTAGAAGCAAAAACAAAAAAGAAACTTATACTTAACATCAGGAAAGGAGAGTTGGGGATTCTGGGGCATATAATGAGGAAGGATGGCTTCGAAAATCTGATACTCAAAGGACGGATTAAAGGTAAGAAGGACAGAAGGTGACATCGAATAACATACTTTAGTAAATTG